CTCTCTCTCTCTCTCTCTCTCTCTCTCTCTCTCTCTCTCTCTCTCTCTCTCTCTCTCTCTCTCTCTCTCTCTCTCTCTCTCTCTCTCCCCCTCAAAAAATCTAATTAAATTAAAAGAAGACTATATTGCGTAATAATTTTTAATAAATTTTCTACTTTATTTTCACGTGATCGAAAATTACCTTGAAATACATGCTTCCGGTTTACAACACTATCACAGTCACTCTCGTCAGAGAAGTCGGACTCCAGTTCTCGCTTGGATACTCTTGAACGTTTCGGTCTGCGACTGGATGGTACGGGCGAATCGTCTCTTCCGTGCAAGATGTGCCGTCCGAATGACTGATTTTCGAACTCCTCGTCCTCATATGTACGCTTTCGCTATCATCACCAAGAATATTAAAATTGTATCTCTTGTCTCGATTTATCTAATCAAATATTAATAATCTTTATGCGTGATGTAATGCAAGAAAAGGATTGTAACAATTACTATGTTTCTCAATACTGTTACAGTTTAAATTCATTCAACACACATATATACAAAATAACGTATATCATTTATTTTATTAATATAATGTAATTATAGTTTTTTCCAATATCTTGTAGAAAATATTGACTTTATGTTGAATTATAACGAATTATGGCGAATCGTCTCTTCGCCATTAATGATAACCAAAGTATCATATTATGTTGATGTTGCATTAAGCTCGTATTACAATTTATCTTTTCTTTAGTTCTTAAAATCTAGGAATAATACAATATCCTGACATTTAAAATTGGGAATCTCTTCATGGATATCCTGATTTTTAAGAGAATATCAGGATAAACATAATGGCATAACACAAATATATTTAAAGATATAAACAAAATTGAATTTTATTATTAAACTAGTCGAAATAATCAAATAGCAATAATTTTAATTAACACACCTTTCGAACGGTATTGGATCGTTTAGTATATGGTGAACTTCGAGACTTCCTTCTCATTTTATTACCACGATGTCTACTATTTCGTCGCCGGGACGTTCTTTTCCTATATAATTCATAATTATTAAATAGAATAAAAAAATCTATTTTGATTGCATTTCTATTTCGACATTTTATAATCATGTTAGAGTTTTTATAACAATTTATTATTAATATATTTGTTATATTTGTTATATATTTATTATTGATATATTAATATAATAATATATCAGCATACTTGCGCTCTTGTATTCGACGAGAGGATTCCACATTGCCAATCAATGCTTGTATGTCAGGTTTCAATGTTTTCTCTTGATTTTTTTGATTATTAGTTGATTCTTTACTAGCAGGTGGTTTAGGGACAGAAGTTGGATTCAAAGTAGCCAATGCTTTATAACGACCACTCCTATGCCGTAAAAGTCCAGCGTTTACTGCATGCTTTAAAGCTCGATGCACCTGCGATGCATCAAATATGTCATATGAATATTTAAATTACTTAAAGTTCTATTATCAGTCATAACAGAAATTATCTTTTCTTTTTTATTAAATAGTTTAGTGAGTTTTGAAGATGCATAATTATCATAAAAGAGGAAAACTATAAAATTTTGATAAGAATACGAATTTGTTGTAAAAAAATTAATATTTTTTAAATTAAATTTGTTACAAAACTTTGGATTGATAATAGAAAGTATATATATATATATATATATATATATATATATTTTAATTCCTGAGAAGACTGGGGATTTTTTTATTAGAATATTTAATTAAAGAAAAACCGTTGAAATGCATATGTAAATATTTCATTTCTATAAAATATTAATATATTTCGTGAAGTATGTAATTCACTTTGTAATATATTTTTCCACATATGAATTACGTTCATAAATTAACATGTAAATTAAACAAGAAAAAAATTGAAAACATAACGCGTTTAAGCGTATAAACATCTAATATATTTTCACCTTCAATGTTAGATTTTTAAGAGATACATTGCTGTGTCGAATAAAATTAAGAACTTCACGAGCCGATGAACCTCTAGTATCGCCAAGATTTGCCACTGCGGCTAGCACACGAGCCATGAATCGTGGATTCGATGGTCGAACCATTTTGAAATTTCACAATTTATCCAGTCAATTTATTCGACTATTGCCTAACTATGAACCTTGTGAACTTCTAGTGACTAAATTTCTAAGTATTACTATAACGAATGAATAATATATTATACTGAATAATTATTAACAATTGGAATTTACTAGTTTCTAATTACAATAATTACGTTTTTATCACTTTAATGTTTTCTGATTCCAACACGTTATTTACAAAAAGTTTTTCAAAGAATATCTTCAATTTATTTATGATGAGTCCTTTTGTGTTTATTTTACGAATGACACGATTATTCTTCGAATATCACTATGAATTTCAAGATTGATACCACACTTACACGCACATTACTTGATAAATACTTGGAGCCAAAAAATATTCAATTGCTTTTTTTGTTATGACAAATAAATATTCTAATAAACCCGTCATAAATGCGGGTCTTTTAAGAGCACCACGAATTTCATTGAGGCATGTCGTCATTCGCGTCGAAGTTATCGCCAATACGTCTGTTGTCTTCACACGATACTCTTCGTCTGTTTCTTCGTGATGTTTCTTTTTCTTTAAATCAGAATCGCAAAAGCATTTATTATTTTAGCACTTGTGTATAAACTGTATACACATTGACATACATTATTTGGAATTTAATGGCTCACCAGATGAGTAACACATACTTGACGTAATTTAGAAATTGAAATTTAGTGAACTTGATACAGCGAACAATTTTAAATTTAAAATTGAAAAACGTACGAGAATAATTGATATTTTTGAAACTGGAAATCGACAAATTGTCATTGTACATTTTGCCGCATGGAAAATTGATATTGTGTCATTCCACTTACAGCTTGTAATAAGGACTACCCGAAGTGCTATCGAGCATACGTCAATGTCAGGAATTTTCGCGGTACCATGATCTCGAATTTCAAATTAAACTTTAAGGAGCATCTGTTATCCGCGCTTTCTCGTACGTGTGTTCATTAAGTACTGTGTGACTTACTTATTCTGTACTTATGCCGTTAACAAGAATACATTGTAAGCACACGATTCGTGTGCTGACTGTAACGTTTACATTTCCATATTCATATTATAATAAAAATATATTATAATAAAATATATAATAATATGTGTTGTTATTTTATACATTGTTTTGGATAAAAGTATGTCATACTTTACAGAAAATATTTGTTGTTTGAAAAAGTTTTCGTTTTCTCATAAGAATGAAATGTCCTACATAACATTTTTCGAAAATATTTCGAAGACTAAAAAGATTTATCTATAAAATAGCCTAAAAAAAAACTCAAAAATAAAATTAGATGTATTGTCAGTATTATTTTTATTTAAAGTTTTGTTTAACGATTCGTCACACTTTCGTCTAAATATTTTAGAAAATAACTGTTGAGTAATTAAAATCTCAAGACTTTCAATTTATGTACACGTTTGTACTGATAATTTCCCAATCATCGCGTTGCAAATGACATCCACCTTTCAAAGCATACCCTATGTTTACGTGTGTATAAAATAGCTGTTTGCATACGATGCGGTTCGTTCGCTTTCAAACGCACGTCGTCTTTCGCTGTAAACTATTTTCGAGAGGATGAATGTATATGTTGCTTAAGCAAATGTATGCGTAACCGTCAAAATTTACCAATTTACCGATTTCACCTTGCGTTATCGCATAAAATCGAGCAGTACAAAAGTTCAAAAAACGTTCGAAAAATATCTCAAAGACAGCTAAAAAATCAAAAGTCTTGTGATAATATTTGCTGTTTGGAAATATATATCGTGTTATCAAAGGAAAATTATTAAATTTTAAAAACCACTTTTAAAAAAAGCATATTAGATTGATATCAGAATGTATCAGAATTTTTCTTGCTTCTTTAATTATATTAATTTCAGTAAAATTAAAAATAAATCTTATATAAAATATATTGTTTATATTAAACTATGAAATATCATGATTTGTCATATTTATATATGCTTTAAACAAAGATGTTAACTTATAAAGAACCTTAAAAGATTAAAGTAGTATTAATATAGTTTTGAGAACTAATTGAAGTTAAAAGTTATTGATATTTTATTTCTAAACTTGCCTAACAATATGATATCATACAATGTGAATATTCATACCAAATGTATTTAGATTATGCCGCATATACTGAGAACATTTGTATAAAATGTGCGTAGTATATTATAATCATATATTCTCAGAATTGAGAACGTTCACACGGTATATTATAACTGTATAGCTTCTCATATTTCGAGTGAATACTCGAAATATCCACATGATATAATTTCCTCGTTCCATATTCAAAGTACATTCAGAACATTTCTATGATATCTGCGATATATTCCGCATGCGTATTAATTGTATATTAATTGTTGATTTTTATTATAGTGCAAAATATTGAATGGATATGTTATTGAAATTGAATTGAAATTGACGAGCAAAACCTCATCCCGAAGAAAACAAGGCCCGGATGAAACATCATGAAAGCAAAAGTCCTGCTCATCCTTGCCAACCTTATTACCTCTTCCTTTTTGTAAGTTTCATCTACAATCAATTCTGTGTTACATTTCATTTTATGTATTTGATGTACCAATTATACACTGAATTTATATAAAAATCTGCACAAGATTTTTTTCATTTAAATTCGACAGTATCTCGTCAAAACGTCAAACGATTTATAAATCACGCAAATAATTACGTATTCGTTTTATATATATTGCAATACAATCTTCAGAAGGCACATGTAAATTCACGAGCATATTTACTTATCGTTTTGAATAACTGATTTATGAATAACTGATTAAAAGCATCTTTTTGTATGCATCAAATAAAAGTCACTTTTATTGGAATAGTATAAAGAATATATGAATACAAGCTCATCATTAATGTCTTTTTTCCATAATGTTACTCATTGTCGGCTTATATATATATATATATATAAAACAAAATAATTGTGATATTAAGTAAATATTAATACAATACAAATATTAACATATTACATCTTAGTAAAAAATATAAACATACTTTCTATTTGCTTGAGTTTAAATTTCAAGTCAAATATTGTAAAATAAAAAATTAAATTAAAGTTTTCGTAATAATTAATTAACAAACGCTACAGAAAGTGCAATTTCTTCTGAAATAAATCTGAATAATATAAATTCAGTAAATTGAACCATATGATGATAGGTAGAGTAAACGAGAGAATGCGACTTTGTTGAAAATGCTTTCTAAACATGATAAGTACGATTCTGGCTTAATTTAGCTCTCTCGTGCATGAGTTTTAATTGCACTCGCTGCTTTACAGATGTATATACATAGAAATATATTCATTAAGATTTCGGGAAGTCAAGTAAAATAAAGCGTGACTTATCTCGTACGCTTATTATATGTATATGTGTACACACACACAC